GTCTCTTCTCCATGCATCATGACATTGCTGTTTCAGACTAAGAAGAATTTTATAGAGGTCATAATATCTACCCTTGATGAGCAAAAATCCAGAAGTGGTAAAATACCTTCATTTACCCTCAAAACAGAGTATATTTGGAATGGCCAGATATGTTTAATGTAGAAGGTCCTAACTTTCTAAAATTCTGTACATTTTTGTGTCATTTCCTTTTGCCTTTGACTTACTTTTTTGGTTCCAGCATTGTTTATTAGTACCATTTGTTATTCTGGGGAATAAGTATACTAAACAGCCAAGCTTCTTGTTTTCTTTGAGCTGACATTCGAGAGGGAAGTGTGCAGACAGAAAACAACTAAATAAAAAATGATCAAGGGAAATTAGGTGGTGTTGAAAGTGGTATAGAGCCAGTGGAAAAGGATGTTGGAATAGAATTCTAGGAGCATTTTAGATGAAACATTCTGGTAAATGATACTTAAGAGTTTATTCTATAGAATATATCCCTGAGATTTGTTCTGAAATTATTATCGCTTCATGTTTGGAAGACCACTGTCTCTGGCTTGATTTTATATTCCTTGATGGGAGGCACTTATTTTTTTCCCGCTTTCATTCCACTTAGTGCTGAGTGTAGACAACCTTCAGTATCACAGTTATTTCTATCAATTCTTGTTTTGGAAAGTGAAGATAATTATTTTGTCTTTGTGACCGTTGTAAATTGGCCTAGGGAACGAAAAGGTAATTTGATAATGAGTATACAGAAATATAGTAAAATTAGATATTTGCCTTAAGAAACAGTTTCTCATTTACATCAGAAAATTTGTTAAATTCAGAAGTATTAAATCGATACAAATTAAAATCTTCTATAATCCTTCCTTCCAGTGGTCATCCTGCTGTCATTTTTGGATATGTTTTATATTCTGGTAGCATATGTGCTGTGCTCTAGTTCTGAAGAATCATCATTCACGTGATATGTTAAGATTGCACTTTATTTCTTGTGTGTATCCTCATCTTTCTACACGGAGCACCTTATGGGTCTAACTACTAATCTCTTAGTTAGTAGCTGTGGTTTTACTTACCATTTTACCAGCGCTCCTGTGGCCTGCTTACTTGCTGCCTTCTACTCAGTTCTAAGTCATACCAACCCCATAGGTCAGGGATTCCATAGGGGTTTCAAGGCTGTTACTCTTCATAAAAGCAGACTGCTTCATCTTTCTCTGGAAGATCATTTGGATTTTAACCTCTTGCCCTTTCTGTCAATGCTTAGTTCACTGTGCTACTGCCATCAAGTTTATTCTAACTTATAGTACCTCTCCATCAATTTTCTGAGGCTGGAAATCTTTGCAAAAGTGGACTTCCTCATCCTTCTCTTGGAGAGTAGTTGGTGGATACAAATTGCCAACTTTTCAGTCAGCAGCCCAAACTGTGATTTACTATGCAGCCAGGACCCTTTAGGTCTTTTATACAGGCACATTCCTCAAATATTACAGATCTGGCCCCAGACCACAAAAGTTAAGCATTGCAGGGAAGTTTATCACTGCCCCTTCCTTTTTTTTTTTTGTTTGCCAGTGGATGTAAAAAGTGTTTACTCTATACTGGTGGTGTAGTTTGTAAGAAGTTGAGCTGCTAGGCCAACAGTGTTGCTTCTCTAGTGGTTTAAACCCACCAGTGACTCCTCGAGAGAAGGGTGAATGATCTCCCATGTGATTTACGGCCTTTGAAAACTCACCAGAGTGTTCATGAAAATGACTTAAAGTTTGTACTACAAATGTTTGCCAATTTTGTAATAATATTGTAGAAAAGTTACGGCTATTTTGAGATTTGCCAAAAATGTAAAAATATGTGAGCATGTGATGTTTAATAAATGATGCCAATAGACTTGCTTCATGCAGAATTATTAGAAACCTTCAGTTTGTAAGGAACAAAACCAATCACATTATCTCTGAAGGGCAATAAAGCAAAACATTGCATGCTTTTATTGAAAACCTCCTATTCCTGTTTTCCATCCCTCTTTCCCTCAGCTCAAATAAAGTGATTCTTAATTTTCCTAGTAGTCCTTCATCTTTAGTTCCCTAGGGTTAGCCATTTATCATTGCCTCTTTGTCCCTAGGTTTTCAGTGATTATACCCCTTGTTTTCATTCCTTGGGGTTTCTTTGGACCCTCATGAGGTGCCTTTTTGAAAAGAACATCAGTCAACTCCATTCTGGCTTAAAAAAAGAAAGAAGTGGGCTATATAAAACACCTGTGCATTTTTTTTGTCCTTCCTTGTAAGTCCCATTGTATGGACTAGTCTGAAAGCAGCCTCACTCTTCTTCTTTGTTGTAAGTAGCTGATTGTTGTTGTAGTGTGCTGTCGAATCAGAACTGACTCACAGCTGACTCTACAGTGAGTTTTTAGAGGAAGTTAATTGCATGGGAGGAGAGTGCCCATAGTTCTCCTGTGGAGCAGCTGGTGGATTTGAACCATGTGCCTTCAGAATTGCAGCATAGTTTCTCATTACTCGGCCACTAAAGCTCCCTAGTAGCTAATTAGACTTTGGAATTTTCAAGCTTGTGTCAGGCACAGTGCTCTTTGTCTCCCAAATGCATTTCTGATTGGTCCAATTAAATCCCTTTAGGCATAAAAAGTGGACTAGAGAGGGTTGGGGTGGAGTAGAGTATGCTCTTCTCAAAAGCTTCTTTTCCAGTCACCATCTGTTTTAAGTTTCTCTTTTATAGCCTAGATGAGGAAGTCTATTCACTTTTACTGCCATTATTGTAGGTCCTGAATTATAAACTGCCTTATTTTATAAAGTACTATCTTTAAGAAATGTTATGACATACAAAAATCAGTTGGATTTCTCTACAGTGACAGAGAGAATACAGAGCTGGAGCTAAGAAAAGCAATACCCTTCACAATAGCTAATCACAAGATTAAATATTTGGGATGTAAATATAACTAGAAGCACAAAAGATCTATTCAA